CAGGGACGCGTGTGGGGGGGAGGTAGTGCCAGATGGGGAGGAGAAGCAGGGCTGGTGTGGGGGTGGGGATGGAGCGGCAGAGGCAGGGACGCGTGGGGTGGGGAGGAGGTAGTGCCAGATGGGGAGGAGAAGCAGGGCTGGTGTGGGGGTGGGGATGGAGTGGCAGAGGCAGGCCAGAGGGTTGTACTAAGCGGGCAGTGAGTGCTGCAGCAAGGGCACAACCTGCTGATCTCAGCTCTTGTTCTGCTGAGTGGCCAGCCGGCTCTAGCTCTTTGACCCAGTACGATGGGGAAGGAGGGGGAGGAGCTCATTGAGTCCTGGAGCCAGCCCTGCAGGGGAGCTAATGATGCCAGCCTGTGTCACATGCTGTGGCCGGCTGTGGGTGTGGGGGACAACCACAGCCTTCCTCTTCTGGAGCAGCTCCCAACCCAGCCCAAGGCTCCCATTCTGCCACCGTGAAAAGAACAGCGCTAGCAGCAACCCTGAGCCCAGCCCAGACTGGGGTGAACGCCCTCTGCCCACTCCACTGCACCCAGCTAGCAGGGCTGCTCAGACCCGGCTTTGCAGAGGGACAGCCCAGATGGAGGGGAGCAGGACCCTGCTTGCCCAGCCACCCTCTCCTAAACTGCCGAGGGTGACACGGGGGACGGATCTGGGATGGAGGCTAATCCCTCCCTCTCTGCCACAGCCTCACTGGGCAGCCCCCAGGAAGAGCCAGCGATCTCTGCACAGAGAGCACCAGGCCCCAAGGCGTGCCCATGCTCCAGACCTGGGGACTGGCGGGGGAGAGGCACTGGTGTCCACCCGTGCTGCCATTAGTCTGTCACTTGGCAGCAGTGAGGGGCATTTGTCTTCCCACCAAACTGGAGGCCTGAGCCCTGGAGACATGACACAGGCCTGGCTGAGCCTCCTGTCCCATCCCAGAGCTCTGTGGTAATCCACAGCAACCCAGGAAGCCTTTGGCCAAATGCCTTGTTCTGCAGGGCTGCGCAGAGCATGCACTTAAGTGCACCCAGGGCATTCAGGGGCCAGCCCAGCCTGACCCTGCTGGCATCATGGCCAGGCATCTCCCCCAACTCAATGCATGCTGTGTTGTCTGGCCCATCCACCAGGTTCCAGCCCCCTATTCCCGTTCCAGCCCTTTGCCACATGTGAGCCGCTGGGTGCAGTGTCAGACATACCCCGTCACAGGCTGTTTCAATTGCTGCGATTACAACTCCTGGCCAGCCCCATCACCCACATGACGTCCCCCTTGCCGTGCGCCACACCTAGTTCAGCTATTGTTCCCTCTTGGGAGCTGTTCCATTCTCCCAGGGCGAGACATCAGCCCAGGATCACTTTGCCTGGCCATTTTGAAGACTTAGCTTCACTCCCGTCTCCTGGTGCTGACCAGTTCTCAGTGACATTTGCAACAGCCTCGTCAAGGGACAGCAAGGCCTGTCTTGGGAAAGGTGTCCCCTCATGTGGGGTGCCTACTTACAACCCCCTGGGGTTCTGCAGCACTCAGTACTCGCAGCGCTAGGCGAAATCAACAGGAGTTACAGAGGTTCAGAGAAGCAGGCCGCAGCTGTCTCGGGTTGGACACCCAAACATAGGTCCAAGTTCACTAGCCAATGCCCCCAGCCTCGAGGCTGACTGTGACTGAGACACAATGAGCGATACGGGGCTAGTCACATTTTCCAGCTCACTCCTTATTTTATCTCCTCCTGACACATGCTCACTTGGCACCTCCTGCTGTTCGGCAGCCAGCTGAGATAGGTGCTGAGTGCAGTGCCCCGACTGACCAGGAAGGGCTGCTGAGCACGGCTCTTCCCCCACCCTGGAGCTGTGCATGCTGACTCCCTCCCTGCCACAGCGGGACAAGTGCAGTTGCAGAGGAGGAGCAGCCTTTTGTTGCTCCATATTCTGTGCCTCTGTTCAAAGTTTGCATGGAAAACACCTGTCCTTATAGCCTGCCCCGCCCTATGCAGTCGGCAGGCAAATGCACCACTGCTTGCAGCGTGTGCTGCAGGGCACCTGGCCCACAGGGAAGAGACGGTGTATTTGCTTTAGGAGCTGCGTACTCTGAAAGCAGCTAGGTAACAAAGAGGCAGAACAAAGGGTGGCTGAGTGCCAGGGGTGAGAGTCCAAGCACAGACCTTGGGTCAAATTCAGACATGTAAGAGGGCACAGCTCCCACTGACTTCACTGGGACTGGGTCTGTTCCTAACAGGGCTGGATGTGGCCCCAATGGTGCTGAAGTGAAGGATAGGCCAGCAGACTGCACGCCGAGGATCTCAGTCTCTGTGACTTCCTGTCTCGTTCTCCCTGAGCCTGTCTGTCCTGCCTCAGCTGAGGGGCCAGGAACCACAGCCAAACTCACTTTCTTGAGCATGCCGGCTGGCTGCTGAAGTGTTGCTGGGCTGCTGCCTTGGCAGTGGCTCACATGCTGATGTCCCCAGCGCTACAGGGAGACACAGCAGAGCCCTTGTTCTTTGGCTTAGCACCGTACTGGCTGCCTGCTCCTGGGATGATGGAATGGGACTTGGCTGCAGCTCTTGCTTGCGCTGGCTCCTGTTTGCCTTGCAGGCTACGCGGATTCCCATCCCACCCCGTGTTTTCCCTTTCCCAGGCAAGGCAAGGCCAGAACCCCCCCAGGGGGATTTTAGCCCCAGCTCAGAGCTGGGCTCACCACTGCCAAACGAACCCACATCTATAGCAGGATGGAAGAAAAGGAAGAGCCTGTGTCACTGATCCCAGGGAGGAGCACAGCACCAGCTAACCTTAACAGCACTCCCACACACACACACATGAAGCTCAGGCCCTGTAAGTGACCTCCAAGCGGACCCCACAAATCTACCCACAACCGTGAATATGAGTGATGCCAACCCAGCCTGAAAACAGGCCCAGGAAAAGTCCCCCTCCCTCCCCAACATTGCATGATAGAGCCTTGTCTCAGGCTCCTAGCCTCAGCAGTGGTATCTCAACCTTCTGGCTCCACCAAGTCCTTGTTGCCAAACGAACCTTCATCACCCCAACCCATCCTGAGATTACAGCCTGAAGTGCATCATATGGGATCTCTCACTGACCCTGCTCTTCTGGGTCTGGACTGGTGTGCTGTGAGAGTGTGCCTCCCAGCCCCCTAACCCCTTCACTAATGCCCGAGACGGGTGTCAGCAATGGAGGTAAACCCTGGAGCAATCAGGGATTAGCTAAATAGAGCCACCATGGACAGCCAGCGCCGGCACACCGGCTCCTTCGGCCTGGGGGGATTTAAGGGGAACCCAGCACTAGAATAGCAGGGGTTGCAGGCTGGGTTTGAGGGGCACTGGTAGAGCTGTGTGGGGGAGGTGTCCTGGGCTGGAGTAGCTGAGGGCTGCGGGAACTGAAGGGCATCAGCCAGTCTAGAGGCAGGGGGAGCTTGGCCAACTCGTGCCTGTGCTGTGGTTGATCTAGCCAGCACTATTAGCTCCCCAAGATATCTCAAGTGCCCCTAGCTCCCTCCTAGCCCCAGCGCTTCTCCCTGGGGCCACGTGTGCAGGGATCCTTCCTCTTGCCTCTGCTGTTCTGCTCATTTCACTGCAGTGGGGGCCTTTAGCAGAAATAAGAAGTGAAAGCGGAATGGGGGGATTCTGCTTCGTCTTTTCCCTGCAGGTCTGAGTAAAACAGCAGCCGGCCGAGGTGTCACTTCTCTTTCCTGCGGGGAAGAGACCTGAGCTGTGGGGCCAGGCTTGGACACTCACACAGAATGGAATGGGAACCCCTTACATGGACGCAGAACAGTGGGGAAATCCATTCTGTTTGTAGGCCCTGCAGTTATTCCTGGGGGGAGGAGCAGTAACATGCTCCTTTGGCCTGAGCTCTTGATATAGGATTCCGAGTGTTCCACCACCAGCACTGACAGTGGGTGTGGGTGGGTGTTTACATGCGTACCTGGGAGGGGGGGCTGTCCCTGGGCTCTCTGTGCACTGCACCTGTAAAGGCAGAGGATTCTCCCTGCCCCAGGTTGTGGTTCCATGCAGATGCAGAAGGTTGCAGTGAATAGCCACTAACCCCCCGCCCCTTTCCTGGGGGAGACTTTATATCAGGGGGAAGGCAACCTACGTTAAAATGTATGACTGGCACGCGAAACCTTCAATCAGAGTGAATGAATGACAAAGTTATCTGGTAGGCAGGCACTGGGTACAGTGCAATTGAGGCCCAGGGAGGCACAGCTGGGCTAGCCCGGGGAACACTAGCAGCGAAGACGCAGACCCAGGGTCGGACTCAGGCTGTCAGCCCTCGCTGGTGTCTGCGCCCCTAGGTCCTCAATGAGTCCCTGCCAGGGTTACCGCTGCTGGCCGGATTACAGCTGGTGACACAGCAGAGGTGCCCGGCTCCAGCTGGGCGGTGTGGTGGCCCGGTGCCAGGCTAACCGCCGCGCAGGGCGGCCCCTGGGTGCCATGCCCCAGGCTGTCTCGGGGGCTGGGCGCTGGGGGCGGCCGGGAGCCAGTCCCGAGCGGGGATAGACGCGTGCTACGGGCAGGCGCCGGGGGCGGGGCCCGGGGCGGGGCGGCGATGAATGGAGCGGGCTCCCCAGCCCGGCCGGCGGCGCGATGATCGCGGTGTCTATCCCCGCGGTGGGGCCGGGGGCCGAGGCCGAGCCGAGCCCCGAGAAGACGCACACGGTGAGGTGTCCGGTCCGGTCCTGGGGGGTCCCCGGGCTGCCGCTGGTTCCTTCCCCCGCTTCCCAGCCGCTGCTCCCGGTCCCCGTGGCGCGTCGCCCTGGAGCACCCGGGCTGAGCCCGGCGCCCACGTGCGGCCCCGCGGCTGGGGGGGCGGCTCAGTCCGCCCGGGCGGGGACCGCACCTGGCTGAGGGGAGCGGGCCCGGGGTGGCGGAGTTGGCGCTGCGCGTCCAGGGGCGAGTCGCTGCGGCCCGTGGGCTCCCCCCGCAGTTGCGGAGTCCCGGGGCCCGGCGCAGCCCCAGTCCGCAGCTAGGTCACGTCGCGCCGGGACCTCACTGCCCGGTGCCGCGGCGAGCCTCTAGCCGCGGAAGGGGGATCCGAGGGGTGCCCCGCTGGGGGGCTGGTGCACTGGGGCCAGCAGCCAAGGAGCCCGAGGTGGGGCACGGAGACTCCAGAGCTTCTCCCTTTTAGTGTCCCGGCCCCATTAGTGAGTAACAGAAATCCGAGGCCGGGGCTTGCTCCGCCCTGTGGCGCGACCAGCCCACCCGCCGCGGCTGCCCCGGGGCTCACCTGGCTCCTGCCGCCGGGGGGGGGGCTTGTGGCAACTTCTCCTAGCGCAGGAAATTCTTTATAAACCGTTTCAGGTTGTGCCCTGGTGGCGGAGGGGGGCGGCAATGCGGGTGCAATAGTGGCACCCCCGGGAGACAAGCCCCACTGGAGAGAACAGGGGGCTGGAGCAGGATGAGCCAGGTCAGTAGTTAGCGGTTCCCACCCGACAGCTGCCCGGACCCATCCACAGGGAGAGTCTCAGCCAGTTAATAGTAGGCGAGTGACCAATGGCTTTTTCTCCCTCTCGGAGGCCCTAGAGATCACTCTCCCCCTTGGGGACTCCGTGAGCCAGGGCCTGTCCCGCCCCCCTTGCTGGCTCTCTCGGCAGTCCTCAGGACCGTGCTGTCCCAGCACCTTCCGGGCTGAGGTCCCTCCAGCCCAGCGGAGTGAGAGTTGTGTGTGTTTGCTGCTCTCCCAGGGTCTGAGTCTGGGGTCTGCTGCTGGGACACTAACCCCCAGCACTGCAGCTGGCTGTGGGCTCAGGAGTTGTGGCTTGACCTCCACCCCCCCCCCAGCTCAGCAGTATGTAAAAGCTACAGGGCTTGAGGCTGGTGTGTGCCATAAGCACAAGTCCCTGTCTGGTTATAAACATGCCAGCCCTCTGTAAGGCAGAGAAAGGGTTAAACCCTTCCAATAACTCCTCCACAGCTCATCCCTCTGCATGGGAGGGCAATGGAGCAGGGTGAAGCCAAGGCCCAGAGAAGGGCCCCCCCAAGCTCTTTTATGGCATCAGTCAGCAGCCCGCCATCATCCCCTCCCTGCTCCAACCACACTGGCCAGGTGGGAGCCGGTAAAACTCCCTGGCTGATTGGCAGCAGCCTGGCCTGGGGACTTGAGTTCACTTTCTCTCTGTTCCTTCCTCCCTCCTGCAGCCCTAAGCCCGAGGGATTTGTGCTGGCCTATGGGCTCCCTGCCTTCCCCAGGAGAGCAGGCTGCTGAAGAAGCCCCATGTGGTGCCAGCCAACATACTCAACATTTTCCCAACCTGCTGATTCAACAGCCCCTCCCCAGCTCTGACCCCACCCAGTGGCTGTCTGTCTGCACAGCTGTTAAACATTCCCCCCTTCACTTCCTGCAGCTGGGGAAGGCAAGTGGATCAAACTTCACTACTGCCTGCACTGTCCGGGCCTGCTCTGCTTTGCAGTCCCCTGTGACCCATCAACATCAGGCAGAGAGCAGATGGATGCGGGATCCAGGAATGGTCTCACTAGTGCTGTGTGCAGAGGCAACACCACTCCCCCTGTTCCCCTGCTTATAAATCCATGGAGCATGCTGGCTGTCTTAGCTACAGTGTCCTTCCCTGCCTGCCCAAGCCCTGTTACGCTGGGTCAGGCTCCCTTCATGTCCCGCTTCTGCTGGAGAGACTCAGCCTTGATGTGACTGGCAACAGGGTCTGCCTCGCTGCAGGTGTGCTTGGCCAGCAGCCCAGCCCTGGGTGTTGACCTGAGGGACTTCCCCTGTCTTGCTGCCAGCATGGGCACGAGCAGGTCACTGTGCCGCTGGCATGCACTAAGCACGTCTTCTCATCTGGGCACCACCAGGAGGCTGGGGGTAGAGGGGGTCTGTGAGCTGGTCCCAGTTAGTTGGTTGTGAGATTGTTTTGGTTCCCTGATTGGATGAGGAAGGACTGAGGAGCCCCTGGGGCTTGGCCTGTGTGTGGGGAGGGGGAGAGAGCTGAGGGCCCCTTGTGAGAATTCTAGGAGATGTTGAATGCCCTCCTTTCTGGCTGCCCAGGCCTGGTTTCAAAGTCACTTGCAGGAGATGAGGCTGCTGTGAGCCATCTAGCCTGGGCGCTGGCTGGAATTTGACTTGTGTCACTATGGGACACTGAGTAATTCTGTACTGTCATGGCTGGGGAGGCCATGGCCAGATTCTGCCTGGCTCATTTAATTGTCCTCTGTGCCAGGCGCTGGTGAGAAGTTTCAGGGTTCTGTCCTGCTGTGTTGAGCAACTGTTCAGCCAGAGAGCCAATTCCAACCCCTTGCGCGAGGGAAGCTTGTGCGACCTGCTGCCTGCCGTGCTCATGTGTCCAACACTAGGAGGAGCGAAACGAACGCATGAGGGGTGTGAGCATGGTGCAGGCAAACGCTGCTGGGCTCACGAGAACAGCCTTGCTGCATTAGCTCGGCTCTACCCACCACAGTGTGTCAGACGGACGTGTGCACGCACAATGTGCAATTGTGCAGCCGTTGTTAGATTTCATGTGCTAAGCAGGGTTAAACATGGTCAGCCCTTGGATGGGAGACCTCCGCGCTGCCATGGTATCAATGCTCACTTTGGTGCCCTGTGTGGGGCTATGGGGTGCTGCGCTGCTGGAGGGGCCATATTCCAATGTGAGGCAGCGCTGACAGCTGATCATTAATGATCGCTGGCACTCTTTGACAGGCGGGTGGTCCGGCCCAATTCCTAGCTATGTCCTGCCCACGCCCAGCCTCCTTGCAGTGCCAGCTGGCTGCAATTCTTCATGTGCTACCCTAGCATGACTCTGATGTAGCTGTGCACTGCTCAGGCAGAGCATGCTCCGCCCTACATGTGATGGTGGCAGCGTCTCCTCTATTTCTGCTGCGCAGGGTGCGGCAGGATGGGAGATGCAATGGATTTCTGAGCTCAGGGAGCTGAGCTGTGTTGGCCTGTTGGTTGCATGAGGCCTTTCAGCCAGTTTGCAGATGCTAAGGATGGCAGGGCTGTGCCCTGCAAGAGAGGAATTTCTCTAGCCGCACTGCTCCCCTCCCGGCTGGAGCCAGAACCTGCTCTGAAAGAGCCTTTTGTGACTGTTTGCTTCAGCCTGACACTGGATTGTGCTTACACAGCTGCAGTGCATTCTGGGAGAGGGAACACGACTGCTTTCACTGCTAAGCAAACACTGCAGTTTCACAGCCCTGTGAGCAGCTGCCCCACCCGAGGGCTACAGGGAAGCAATGTCCCTTCTCCAGTCTGGGCAGCTGGGGAGAGGGGGCTGAGGGTACTGGGAATGGGGTGCTCTTATTACGTATTTCTGCACTAAGACTGGGGCCTGTCAGGCCTGTTTCACGTCTCTCCTGTGCCGTTGCAGGTGTTTACGGTGGAGGTGCTGTGCAATGGCCGGAAACATACCATTGAGAAGCGCTACAGCGAGTTCCATGCCCTGCATAAAAGGGTGAGGGCCGGCCGGGCAAGCAGCTGGAATGGGGAGCGGGGGTAAACTGCATGTTACCGTTGCCGCCTGCTGTGCTGCACAGCAAACCCCAGGGACTGCTCTTTCCACTGCCACAGGGCCCAGCTGCTGCCTTTGAGGAATTCATCCCTGCAAATGTGCTGTCTGGCAGCATTTCCTCCACACGTGTGTTGCCAGATGTTAGTCTGTCTCCCTGTCTATGTTCTGCTCCTCCGGGGTATGCTCGCGGATTGGGCACCTGCCAATTACAAGGGAAGTCGCGTCCCTGCGTGACTGGAACAGGGAGATGGGATAACATGGACCTCTATGTAGTTCTCTTCCCCGAGCTGCACTGTGCCTGGGGCCCACAGCCCTTCAGCCAGCACCAGATTAAGGCCTGGGCAGCATCAGCCTGAGCTGAGGCGTTGTTTACTCACCTTCTGTTTTTATTTGTTTTTTTTTAAAAAGGGCTTGAAAATATGACAGAGTGTAACTGACATGGCGACACCTGCCTGAGCCTGTCACTGTGAGAAGGGGACCTGTGTTATCTCACAGGGGTGTTCATGCAAAAACCCCTGGAGGCCTCACCAGCACCACCCTGATAGAGGATCCTGGCAGGAGGGGAGGAATGCTGGGGCCCACCCAAGCAGATGAACCAGCAACTGGGGTGTAATATTGAAGAGGTGGGGGCATGCTGCCACCCCTGCTGGTGCTGGGAGGAGAAGAGACCTTTGCAGCTCCTGAGGGGGCTCAATGCTGCTGTGTCAGAGGGGAGGGGTCCTCCTGCCATGGTGTGGTACATGGATCCCCAGAGCAGAACCTCTAGCCCAGGGCCCCACAGGACCCTGGTGTCCTGTAGCTACAAGCAGCAGGTGGGCTGTGACTCTGTCTGATGGTAACACCATGTTCTGCCCTAGATAAAGAAGATGTGCAAGGTCCCAGATTTCCCCCCCAAGCGAGTCCCCAACTGGATGTCAAAGGTGCAGGAGCAGCGGCGGCAGGGCCTGGAGGTTTACATTCAGGTAGGATGTTTCCCCACAGCCCGCGCCTGGGACTCCATCACTGGTGACTCCTGGGCTGGGTTTGAGCCCCCTGGAGTGGACTTGGGCTTGCTCCCTTAGAAAGGCCCAAGTGCTCTCTGCTTGGGTGTCCCCCCCACCATGGGGCGAGGGGCTCTGGCGAGCTCTAACCTGCCCACTCTGTTTGCTGCAGGGCGTCCTGTACTACAACAAGGAGCTGCCGAAGGATCTGCTGGATTTCCTGAAGCTCAGGCACTTTCAGCAGGATGCCAAGGCCAGCAGCCTGGAGTGAGTATCCCGAGGCCTGGGGCGCCCACTGGTGGAAGCCAAAGTCTCCAAGCTCAAGTGATTCCTTGGTGCCCTCCCTGGGCATGGGAGGGGCTGGAGGGGTTAGTGTTCATGTTAGGCAGCATTGCCTAGTGGCTGGAGCCACTAGGTTCTAATCCCAGCTGTGCCAGTAACTTGCTAGATGACCCTGGAAAGGTCCCATCCCCTCTCTCGAATGCCATTTCCCCATCTGTGAAATGGGGCTAATTGCTCATGCTCCCTGGCAGGCAGGCTAAGGCTGCCTGACTAGGAGTGACAATGTGTTACAATGGGGATTTCTTCCTTTGTTTGCTCAGCCCCTTAGGCTGTGGCGTCTCACCTGTGCAGCAGAGCAGTTCCATACTTCTCCAGCAGGGGGCTGCCCTAGCAACCCTGCCCTTAGTGCACCAGCACAGGGCATCAGCTGCAGCTCTTAGCAGCTGTTGAACTTGTGCTCCCCTACCCAGAACAGATTTAAATTGCCTGTGTGCAAACTCAGCCACAGATAAGATGCACCTGGTCCCTGATGTCTCCAAGGTTGTATGTCCCTCTGTCTAACAGAGGGGAGGGCAGCACCTGTCCCCCCTCCAGCCCCCAAGGGCCTGGGCCCTTCACTCCCTTGACTCTGTTTTCTTACAGTCTGAGGAGGGAAGTCGCCCTTCTGCCTCCTCCCAGGCCCTGTGCTCCACCCAGTGCGACTGTTGGGACCTTACTCCAGCTGTAGGGGGCTCATGGCAGGGCTCCCAGTTGCTGGCTGACCTGCTCAAGCTCTGGATGGGGGTCCTAGCTCGTGGGCTCGCTAGCTGGGCCACCTGCAGGGCAAGGGCACCTCCTGGTGGCTGGCTGCTTCTAGAACAATTCTCCCAGCAGTGGGGGCTCAGCTCCCTCATCAAATGGCTTGCACAGTTATTGTCCCCCCCCCCACCCTCCACTGGTTCAGTTGGAAGAAACAGCCCCACCTTCCAACCGCTTTGTCTAGATCCCTGCGGGTAAGGAAATCCCCTGCTGGCTGGGAGAGCCGATCTGCTACCCCCCAATGGGGGAAGATGGGCTGCACTAAGGAGCTCCCTTATAGAGCAAAAGGGAACCTGCCTAGGAGCTACAGTGCAGGCATGTGAGAGCCCCACTGGGCACTAGTGAACCTATGCCCCATGCCCACCCCCATCCAGCTGGGCCAGCACCTGCCTTGCCAGGACCCAGGCACTGGAGAGACGGTGTGGGGGGGAGCCTGTCAGGCTGCTCTCACTAGCCACTCATGTCACTGCCCCAGAAAAGCCAGGTCCTCATTGGCCTCTCTCATTACAGCCACGGCTTCCTGCTCTCCCACCGGCCGGTTATGATCTTCCACAGAGACCCATATGTGCTTCCCTCCTCTACAGGTAAGGCAGGGGCACCGGGTCCTGGGGCAGGTGATGCAATGGAAATGTGTGCTGGGCTGAGGGCACGGATTCCCCTGCTCCTGGGCAGGCTGCCCCCAACAGCCTCTTCTGGGTGTTTGCTGCTCCCAAAGGGATGCTGGCATCCTGCAAGCTGGTTCCCTTTACTAAGGAGGGGTGTACTGTGAGGTGCTGCCCCTCTTCTCTACTCACATTTGCAGCAAAACTGCCCCTTGGCAGCATATTTGGCAAGTGCATGAGGTTTAAACCCTACAATTGCTCCCCACACAGGGGCCATTTGAGCGTTACTGGGAGCAGAGCAGGACCCACCTGCTTCCCCAAAAGGCACATTTCACAAAACCAAGAGGAACAAAGGTCTCAATGGGGCCTGACCTCTTTTCCCTCTTGTACAGTCCAGCTGCTGCAGCCTGGCATCTCGCCCATGCAAGCGTGCCGGGCAGGAATGGTCTTCAGGAGAAAAAAGATTTTTTCTAACCACCCCCTGCTCCATCCTTCCCTAGAAAGCTTGGAAGAGGGCAAAGGCCCTGGTGAGAAGACGTAAAAACTGCCCACAGCTGCACTGTCCAGAACAATGGCCTGGGGAAGTTTTTTGCCAAATTTTGCAGTGGGGTCTATTCTGCTGTCCTAATTCCCCCTCCCATTGTTTCAGAAGCATACAGTACTCTAGTTCCTGCCATGCAGTGCTGTAGGCTGCTGTTAGACATGCTCTACTTGTGTGTGAAATGCTTTTTCATATAAGGATGGGGCCAATGTCTGTCGGGGGGGTAACATGCAGCCTAGAACCTGGCTCAGCTTGTAAAGGGCTTCTTGGAACCCTTTAGACAAGCTGGGCCAGTGGGGAGCATGGGTGATGGCTGGAATAGGTTAGCTGCAGTTCCATTAGCCCATCTCCCCCTGCCGAGGGGATCTGATGCCCTGCAGCAGCCCTGTCTTGTCAGCAAGGCTGGAAACAGGAACTGTTGGCAGTTCCTGGGCTACCACCTGGTTCTAAATCTTAATGTAAGAGAGGGTGGGGAGCTGAATCTGGTATCTGGTCCCCCTTTAACTCCTGCAGGCTGGAGCGCTGCAGTGGGACTGGAACCCCGCAGGAATAAGATTAAAAAATCCCCTGCAGGGCTCTGCTCCCAGAGTTTGGTCTAGTTCCAGTCTTCCTGCTGCTGCCAAGAAACAGCTGTGCTTTTAACCCCTTTCCTCTCCTGTTTTGCAGAGCTGCTGCCAGACATAGTTCTGAGTGGTGTGTTGCGAGGCTTCTACAGACCAGCAAGCTCCTGCTGGGGGAAGGCAGTCCCAAAGTGCTTGGCAGAGCCCCAAGTGCTTAGCCAGCAGGGCTCATGAGGATATCCACCACAGAGCCATTGCTCAGGCTTCACCAGCCCCACTACTGGAGTGGGAGCACCGCTCGGTTGTCCTATCTAGGAATTGCTGACGTATCTCAGTGGCTGTGCCTTCCTTTCCCCTGGGACTTGTTCCTGCCTTCCCACACATGGGGTGGACAAAAGGGGGAGATGCTGCTGAGCCTAGGGGCTGGTGCCTAACACACATGGAGATTGTGCTGGAAGCTCCTGAGGGACTGTTCTCAGTGAGCACTTGTAACGAAGGGGTAGCTGTCAGGCCAGACCCTAACTGCTCCAGCAGTGCTGTCTCTGGCCATAGCAAGTGGAAGTGCTGCCACCTGCACTATGGCTGGGGTGGCCAGGCTCCTGCCCCTGCCAGGCTAGATAGAGCCTGGGGGGAGGGGGAGATGGTGTCCCAGACCCATGCAGAGCCCCAGGATTGGCCTCCTGCAGGCTAAAGGGAACTGTGCAGATGTATATAGGCAATAAATCACTCAGGTCTGGTTTGAAGATAGCGGCTGCACTGTATTTATCTGGGACTAGAACCCATAAACTGTGTGTATAACATGCCCTATTTGGCCTCAGCCAAGGGGCAAAAGAAGACAAAAGCCTAATTGCAACTACAGGATTTTCTCATGGATAAGGTACTGGGCAGAGCCCCACCACTGGGTGCGTTGCCTGTACCACACTGTACCCAAGTGGTGGGGGATGATGTACTCACTAGGGGAGAATGAGTGGGTCCCAGGGACTGTGCTAGCAGTAGCAGGAAGTGCAACCCCTGCCAGGGGAACCACCCTGCAATAGACAGGGAGGTGCAGACACCACCCCTGCCTTCCCTGAGGTCCAAAGCAGGTCAGGTGCCTCCAAGCTCCCTGTTCAAATGCCTTAGGCACAGTAGTGGGACATAAAAGAAGCAAAAGGCTGGTTGCTGCCCTGCTCAGGAAGAATCTATTTATGGAGGGGCTGTGAGCTGTGCCTTCTCAGAAGCTGGGGGACATTCAGGCCCTAGAGGAAGCCCACTCCAGGCAATGCTATAAAAAACACACTGATCACATTTATTGGTGCATGTGCTTCTTACAAAAGTGATGGACCCACACCCCCTCTGCTGGCCAGACAGAATGTGTTAGGTCACAGAGAATGGGAGGAGAGGCCGGGCAGGAGGTTGGTGGCAGGGTACAGCTGCTGCTCACCCAGAAGGTAGCTAGAGCCGAGGGGCCCTGTGGAGCATCACAGCCCTTCACAGGCCAGCTCTGGCTGCATGGCCCTGCCCTGGTGCTGGGGCAGGATGGTTTACTCTTTGGCAATGGCAAATGGTTTCTCCACCTCGATGGTGCCACAGTCAGCAATGGTGACATCCTTCAGGGGCTTGTCCCGACTGTCCGTCTTGGTGTTCTCCACCTTCCTCACCACATCCTAGGGGACACCTACAGTGAGGATGGGATGTGCCTATGCACAGGGTCCCCTGATAGCCAAAGCTGAGAGGGGTGTTTCCACCCTTTCCCCTTTTCCAGCTGGTAAGCTCTAAGTGTAACTCCCAGCTGTTCCCTTGTCTCACCCTCAGGCCTGCTCCAGAAAACGTATACAAGGAGCCTCCTCTCCCAGGAGCCAGGACAATACTAGACTCACCCCCTTCAGCCTTTGTTTCCAGGGACACAGCAGCTATGGGCTCTGTCTGGCCCTCTAGCGAAGTCTAACATGCAGCCCAGCCCCCATTCCCTCTGGGGCACACAAAGCCAGCTATGGGTCAGCCATGCCAGGGAGGGTGCTTCCCCCACCCCACATCCCCCCAGGTATCTCCTCTCCACAGGGATGGGGCTTCCTCCTTACCATCCCTTCCAGGATTTTGCCAAACACAACATGTTTGCCATCCAGCCAGGGAGTCTTGACTGTGGTGATGAAGAACTGGGAGCCGTTGGTGTCCTTGCCAGCATTGGCCATGCTAACCCAGCCAGGTCCATAGTGCTTCAGCTTGAAGTTCTCATCAGGGAAACGGTCACCATAGATACTCTTGCCTGGCAACGAAAGAAGAGGAGCAGCTTACAGTCATGGGTTCTATGCAGGTCAGCTCCCACCACTGGCACCAAAGGAGCATATTAGCACGTCCAGAGAGGCAGGAACCTCCATCAGGGAGAAGAGACCCCACATCTACCCCCATCATGCAGGGCTCAGTACCCTCGGAGAGGCTGCTGGGAAATCCTCCCTCCATCTACAGGAACCAACACACCCTCTGGGAGGGAGGGGAAGTGCCACAGCTATGGTCAGGGAGCCCCATGCTGGCAGGCGAGGGGTGCACTGAGCTGTGGCTGAGAGCAGTGCTGTGGCAGACAGGAGGATAGGTCCCATTCCATAGACAGCTCCCAGGGCAGGAGCCAGGGGACACCCACCTTCTGCAAGTCACAACACAGATCCGCAGTAAGGAGCTAGTCTCTGCTTGAACAGCTGTGGCTCAGCTTTAGGAATGAACAAGAGGGAAGGGTCCCAGGCAGAAGCCCTCCTAGTTCCTGTGTAAGGATTGTTGGCCAGGGCTCTCCCAGGGAGACTGAACTGTTAAAGGCATATAGTGCCCATCCTTTTCCACATGCCCGCCTGGCTGCTAGTGCAAGAGTCAGGGTAGGGAGCTAAGATACGTTGCACCAAGGGGCAGCTGCTAGAGCAGGAGTGACTAAGCGACCGTTGGTGGAGCTTCTTGTCTGTTCGCTTGCTGTGTGTGGTCGGTTTGTTGGGGGGGGGGGGGGGGCTGAGTGCTGAGCCTAGCCACCTGCTAGGCCAGGCTGGGAGCTTCTTAACAAGGTTCTCACCTGCCAGCCTTTCATTCCTAATCCCATGAGTAGTCCTGCCCCTTTGTCAAGGGACCATAAAGGAGAACAGGGGGTTAAAAAGCCAGCTCCTAAGCAACCAGAGGAGCTAGCGAACAGCAGAGTTTTGCAAGAGACTTCTGAAGAGTGTGAGAACCAGATCCCCTCATGTTCTGCCAATCAAACCTCCCACTCCTCCAAAAAAAAAGCTGCAAGAGTAAAAACAATGCAGGCAGAAGTCCATCAGCAGAGCGGGGGCTACCCAGTTTATTGCACTGAATGATTACCTACCTTGTGGGTAGGTGGCACATGTGCATTTAGTGCAAGCAGCTCCCGGCCCTTAGAGACAGAATAAGGGCACTTGAGCCCAGAGTAGCTGAACTGGAGGAGCTAAGGGAGACAGAGGTACACAGAGGACACTTTCTGGGACCCAGGAGAGCAGCCCCATCGCCCAGTCTGTGCTGCTGAGGAGAATGAAAGTCCTGGGGAAGAAGAACATCAAAGTGGAGCAGAGGGAAACGATCCCATGGTTGGGACCCTTCTTCCAAATAATGTCATGGTGTTCTCTCGCACTGAGGATGCCCCTCCAGGGGAGGGGAACCAGTTATTAGGAAGAGACAGTAATAGTAATGGGGGATTCGATCATTAGAAACACAAACAGTTGGATTTGTGATAACCGGGAGAACCGGATGGTGAAGTCCCTGCTTGGTGCAAAGGTTGTAGATCTCTCAAGACATCTAGCTAGATTAATATGCAGCGCTAGGGAGGAGCCAGTGGTCGTGGTATAAGTAGATACCAGTGACACAGAGAAGGTAGGACAGAGGTTCTGGAGGCCAAATTTAGGCTGGTAGGTACCTCCATGGTAGCATCCTCTGAAATGCTTCCAATTCCATATGCAGGGCCATTTAGCCAGGTATAATTGCAGTGTGTCAATGCATGAATGAGACAATGGTGGAGGGAGGAGGGTTTTAAGCTTTATTAGGAACTGGGGAACCTTTTGGGAAAGGAGGCGGCTACACAGGAAGGATAGGCTCCACCTAGTCCAAAATGGAACCAGACTGTTGGCCAGTAAAATTAAAAGGGTTGTAGATGAGTTTTTTAAGTTAAGGACTGGGGGAAAGCCAACGGGCATAGAGGAGCACATGGTGTGGGCAAAGATTTCTCTTAGGGGAGGATCTATTAACGGGGATTCTCTATAGCCTAATAAAAAGGAGAGGATAGAAGTTGAGAGAATACAGGTAGGAGCTGAAGAGAAAGTCAAAGGAAAAGGCATCCCATTCAGTTACATCACATGAAGGCAGACAACTAAATATTGACTGTTTTTATAAGTGCTTGTATACAAATGCTAGAAGTCTAAATACTAAGATGGGTGAACTTGAGTGCCTAGTATTAAATGAGGCTATTGATAGTTACGGGCATCACAGAAAGTTGGTGGAATGAGGATAATCAATGGGACACAGTAATACCAGGGCACAAAATATATAGGAATGACCAAGTAGGTTGTGGTGGGGGAATGGCGCTATATGTAAAAGAAAACAGTCCAATATAGTAATCTTAAATGAATGAAATAGCACCACAGAATCTCTGTGGATAGAAATTCCATGCTTGAAGAACAACAATATAGCAGAGGGATATACTATCGACCACCTGACCAGGATGGTGATGGAGAATGCGAAAAGCTCAGGGAGATTAGAAAAGCTACAACAAAAGAAAACTCAATAATAACGGGAGATTTCAACTATCCCCATATTAACTAGGTACACGTCCCCTCAGGACAGAATGCAGAGATAAAATTTCTAGACACCATTAATAAATGTTTCTTGGAGCAGCTAGTCCTGGAAGCCACAAGGGGAGAGGCAATTCTTGATTTAGTCCTAAGTGGCACACAGGATCTGGTCCAAGAGGTGAATATAGCTGGCCCGCTTGGTAATAGCAACCATAATGTAATTAAATTTAACATCCTTGCAGGGGGGAAAATACGAAAGAAGCCCACCAAAGTAGCATTTAACTTCAAAAAGGGAAAATACATAAATACGAGGAAGCTAGTTAAACAGAAATTAAAAGGAACAGTCACAAGAGTGAAATGCCAACAAGCTGCATGGAACTTTTAAAATCATAATAAAGGCTCAAATTAAATGTATGCCCCAACTAAAAAACCCAAAAATAGTAAGAGGACCAAAAAACACCACTATGAGCAGAGTAAAAGAGGTGGTTGAGACAAAAAGACATCCTTTAAAAATTGGAAGTCAAATCTGACTCAGGAAAACAGGAAGGAGCATAAACTCTGGCAAGACAAGTATAATTAGGCAGGCCAAAAAATAACTTGAAGAGCAACTAGCAAAAGACAAAAACAGCAAAAAAAAATGTAAGTACATCAGAAGCTGGTAGCCTGGCAAACAATCAGTGGGGCCACTGAATGATCGAAATGCTAAAGAAGCATGTGTGGAAGACAAGACCGTTTTAGAGAAGCTAAATTAATTCTTTGCATTGGCCTTTCCTGCAGAGGATGTGAGGGAGATTCCCAAACCTGAGCCACTCTTTCCAGGTGACAAATCTGAGGGACTGTCCCAGAATGAGGTGTCAACAGAGGTGGCGGCTTTGGAACAAACTGATAAATTAAACAGTTCTGAAGGAACTCAAAATATAAAACTGCAGAACTACTAACTGTGGTATGTAATGTATCGCTTAAATCAGCTTCTGTACCAGATGACTGGAGGATAAATAATGTGACACCAATTTTTAAAAAAGGCTCCATAGGCGAGGCCGGTAAGCCTAACTTCAGTACCAGGCAAATTGGCTGAAACTACAGTAAAGAACAGAATTATCAGACACATAGATGAACACAATTTGTTGGGGAAAAGTCAACATGGTTTTTGAAAAGAGAAATCATGCCTCACCAATCTATTAGAATTCTTTGAGGCAGTCAAACACATGTGGACAAGGGTGATCCAGTGGACATCGTGTACTCAGACTTTCAAAAAGCCCTTGACAAGGTTCCTCACCAAAGGCTTCTAAGCAAAGTAAGCTGTCATGGGATAAGAGGGAAGGTCCTCTCATGGATCAGTAACTGGCTAAAAGACAGGAAACAAAGGATAGGAATACATGGTCAGGTTTCACAACCGAGAGAGGTAAACAGCAGGGTCCCACAGAGATCTGTACTGGGACCAGTGCTGTTCAACATATTCATAAACGATCTGGAAAAAGGGGTAAAACAGCGAGGTGGCAAAATTTGCAGATAATACAAAATTACTCAACTGACTGCAAAGAGTTACAAAGGGATCTCACATAACTGGGTAACAAAACGGCAGATGAACTTCAGTGTTGATAAATGCAACGTAACGCATATTGGAAAACATAATCCTGGCTAGACATACAAAATGACGGTGTCTAAATTAGCTGTTACCACGCAAGAAAGATCTTGGAGTCACTGTGGACACTTCTCTGAAAACATCTGCTCAATGTGCAGTGACAGTATTTAAAAAAAAAAATGTTAGGAACCATTAGGAAAGGGATAGATAATAAGGTTGTAAATATCACACTGCCACTATATAAATCGATGGTAAACCCACACCTTGAATACGGCAGGTAGTTCTGGTCACCCCATCTCAGAAAAGATATATTAGCAACAGAGGTGCAGAGAAGGGCAACAAAAATGATCAGGGGGATGGAACAGCTTCCATATGAGGAGAGAGAAAGACTGGGATTGTTCAGTTTGGAAAAGAGATGACAAAGGCGGGATATTATAGAGGTCAATAAAATCATGATTGGTGTGAAGAAAGTGAATAAGGAAGTGTTATTTACCCCTTCACATAACACAAGAACCAGGGGTCACACAGATGAAATGAATAGGCAACAGGTTTAAAACAAACAAAAGGAAGGTATTTCTTAACATAACGCAGAGTCACCCTGTGGAACTTGATGCTAGGGGATGTTGTGAAAGGCCAAAAGTATAACTGGGTTCAAAAAGAACTAGGTAAGTTTATGCAGGATAAGTCCATCAATGGCTATTAGCCAAGATCAAGAATACAACTCCATGCTTGGGTTTCCCTAAGCCTCAGACTGCCAGATGCTGGGACTGGATGACTGGGGATGGATCCGTCAATAATTACTTTGTTCTGCAAGTGCCCCTTCTAAGCTGGAGTTCTGATTACACCAGCTGATGGGAGACGCTTCAGCTCAGGCCTGGCTGCTCATTGGGACACCCTTCTTCACAGAACAGCCAGGAGCCCCCTACCAAGGGTGATGCCCGGTAGGGCGGTGTCTGAGCAAGAGCCTGAGTACTGGGGAACGGCAGGACTCAGGAGAACCCCTCCATAGGCGTTGACTTCCTCTCTGCCCGGTGGGTACTGCCCCACCCCCATTCCATCCCTTCCCCAAAGTTCCCACCCCACCCTGCTGTTTCCCATCCCAGCCTTGCTCCCATTCCACCCCCTTCCCCCAAGTCACCGCCCCTACCCTGCCTCTTCTCCGCCTCCTCCCCTGAGCGCGCCATGTCGTCCCCCCCCCAAAAAAGACTGTTAGGCGGTGGGGTGGGAAGCGCTGGGAGGGAGGGAGAGGAGCAGGGACGCCGTGCAATCGGGGGGGGAGGGAGGGGAAGGAGGCGAGGAGGGGGCAGCTTGGCTGCCGGTGGGTGCAGAGCACCCACTAATTATTCCCGTGGGTGCTCCAGCCCCCGAGCACCCATGGAGTCGGCACCTATGCCTCTAACTCCAAAGGGGCTCTGCAGAGCACTGGGCAAGTGCAGCAGATTCACAGCCTGAGGGAGTCTATGAGCAAGGCTCATGGCCTGGAGCACAGGATAGTGGCAGGGTGGCACAAGCCCAGCGTTACCTCCGGTGCCATCTCCGCGGGTGAAATCTCCTCCCTGGATCATGAAGTCCTTGATCACACGGTGGAACTTGCTGCCCTTGAACCCAAACCCTTTCTGGAACAGAGGAGAGTGAACATGAGGCAAGGGGAGGAGCAAGTGCCTGGGCAATAGCTAAGGGATTGCTCCGTCCGCCCCCCCCCCCCCCATCACTGCTTCATTGCCTGCCCATCTCCCCAAAGAGGCACTCCCTCCAGACAGGGCAGGTTGAGCTGGTGGGGGAAGCCAGATCTGGCTGCAGGCTAGATTGTTCATTTATGTCTCTGGCCCTCATAGTTGGGGAAAAACCCTTTCAAACGTGACTGATCAGGCATGCAGTGCTGCAGTAACCTGCAGCCAGGGTTGCGGGGGAGTCCAGGAACAGCTCAATGGGAGCAGGCTGAGCAGTGATTACCAGGAGAGTAGCAAATTCAGTGCTAAGGTAGGCAATTGGGCAAGGACAGGAGCTGGCTGGGTGAAGGGGGAGGGATGGGAACCTGGGGCAATTTCACATCTTCTCCAACGCATCCCAACTCAGGGTCCCAAGAGCTTTAGCCCCCAGCAAGCCCAGAGGGTAGTGGGACTTGTCTCCAGTCCCAGTGCAAGGCAGAGCTGAGAAGAGTTTGGTACTGATAGGGGCTGTGATTTTTAGATGGGTCAAAAGGAGTTAGACATCCAACTCCCACTGAAAGGCCCCAACGCAGTGCTCACCACAGTGAGTGATCGGAGCCAAGGGCTCTGCTGGAGAACACTTCCTGGCCCTCAGCAGCAGGGGGTGAACAAGAATCAGGGCTCCAAGTGCTGGGAGCCAGTGAGGGATCTGATCTCTCCGCAGTGGGCAGCTGTGCACCAACCCCTCCACCTTACCCACAGAAGAAGGGGTGTAGCAAACAGCCTTCTGCATTGCACTCAGAAATCTCAGTCTTGGGCCTCAGGCTTCAGCCTTTTGATAGCCAGTTACATAAAAAAAGAGGACATGCCGCACTGCCATTCCCTTGGGGTTTGGTTCACAGGCAGCGCAGCAGCACGAGACTGGGAAGTATCTTGGTGACTCCCCCAGGCTAGACCATGCTCCCCCACTCACTCCTCCTCCCCCTAGGCAGAACTAGAAGAGGGTGGGTATCAAAAGTAGGGTTGAACTGCCAGGATGCTGAGCACTGCTGCTAGACCTTTTACAGGTCTTTGTGGCTTGAGGCAACACCCCCCTCACGTGTATTTAGGATAAACTTAAGTGTAATTCTCAAGATCAGCCTGCAAAGGATAACTACCCTCTGATCCAGCGTCTAGGCAGTTGGCACACCCCATCAAGGAGAAATGGAAGGTCTGCTCAACCAGTGACCATATCCAGCCTGTAATTAATATGGATGCTACCAACAAACACACCTCCTGTGCTGCTGGAACGAGCTCCCTACTGCTCCCCAGCCCAGCACCTGACTTTCTCCCTGCTTCTGGAGGCAGTGGGTGTGAGTACACACACCAGGGCCAACACCAACTCATGCACACTGCAACTCCATGTGAGCTAGAAAACTGGAGTGAGGGGCATTGCCCAGGGGTCCATTCACCTCTCCTGTGGCCAAAGCAACGAAGTTCTCCACAGTCTTTGGGACGGTCTTCCCAAAAAGGCCAAACACGACCCGGCCAACATCTTCGTCCCCGATCCGCAGATCAAAATACACCTGTGGTACAAGGGAGGCAGCGTTAGCCAGGGATTCCTGTTTCTCCTGCCACGGTGTGGCACTTGGAATACCAAATGGAGCCAGTCGGATGACACCTCCCCACCGTGCCAGGCCCAGGCACGGAGCCTATCTGACTGGCTGGGTTACAGCAGCTCTTGTACCTGGGATCCAGCTGCAAGTCAGCCCATGAGCTGTAAATCATCCCCACTCTGAGAAGCAGCATGAGGGGCAGAGAATAAAGCTCAATATCGGGAGGGGTTACAAAGCTCAGAGCTCTTTAGTGTTCATTTGGCTACACCGTACAGACCTCTTTAAAAAAAGCAGGATATTAGCCCTTTCCATAGCAACCCAATCCATGTGGAGCACAAGTAACCCCATCAGACCACGCTATCTGCCCTTTAGGGCAGGGCCTCTCTCTTTTACTCTAGGGCTATATTCGGAGCTACACACCTTTCTATTACTGAGACTCATGCACCAGCTGGCTCCTAAGCCAAGCTTGGCAGGGGTTCCTGCCTAGGGAATCTTGGCTATCAGGTACCTTCCCCCACCTGGCATTGAGTCAACGAGATGGCAGCAGGCTGAATGGGCTCAGAGAGAACTGCCACCAGAATTTTCGCCATCAGAGCCTTCGCTTTTGGGGTTCCCACTCCTAGAACAGCTTTGGCCTCAGCTCACAGGCTGGCCTGCCCCTTCCCTGCAGCCCCACACCCGTCCATGGGTGAGTGCGCTAGATCCCAGACTCCAGTGGTTTAAAGGAACCCTGTCATTTCACCCCCTGCTCTCCGACAGACCTCCCCACTGATGCCATCTGTGCCTGGTGCGTGTCACTCCGCCCGGGTTGGGACAGGGCTGGCCAGGGCTCCGGACTGACGAGGGGCCGGGATTAACCGAGACACCGACAAAGGCCAGCGGCACCGCCATCTTCAGCTCCCCCACCCTTGGCGCCCGCTGCCCCTGCTGGCTGCCCAGAGGAGCAGTGACCACGCGATCCCGGCTGGAAGGGACGGAAACCTCAGCTCAGGGGCACCCGTCTGAGCCTTCTCCAGGGAGCCAGTGGCCCGCGCCCCTTCCCTGCTCCGACCCACCCCCGCAAGGCCAGACCCGGCCTTGGGACCCACTAACCCCCGGGGGCCGGCAGCGCGGCCACAGCTCCGGGGGCTGCTGGGTCAGGCAGCGGGCATCGCGTCCTGCTCTAGGGGAGCCGTGTCCAGCCTGCTTCGGCTGGGGTGCGGAGCTCGGGGCCAGGAGGGGTAGGATCCCGGGGGAGTGGGTCGGAGATCCGGGCGAGGAGGAAGATCTGGGCGGGATAGGGCGGGCCTGGTGCCCTGGCGGGGGAAGATCAGGGTGGGGTAGGGGGCCCGGGGGTGAGGGAGGCCAAGGGGGAGGAGGACGACGACGATCCGGACAGGGTAAGGGGGGCGGGGGAGGATGAGGAGGTACGGGCTGGGGAGGGGAGACCGGGGTGGCGGGGGGGGGACGAGTCCGGGCAGGGTAAGGGGGGCGGAAGTGGGGGGAGGCCCAGGCGGGGAAGGGGGGAGAGTACGGGCAGAATAAGGGGGTTGGAG